TTGTTCTAAATATCTTCCTGGGGGGCCTGGGGGAAGTCCTGCCTACAAGCCACAGCTAACATTCCTTTCTGGTAACTCAAAATTTTAAACAAAACTTCTCTTCCTTAACCAACCGCAAAACAACAAATTTTTGAATCTACCTATGACCTGGAAGCCCACCCCACTTCAAGATATCCTGCCCTTTTAGGCTAAAACCAATGTGTGCCCTCCAAGTATTGATTAATGATTTTGCCTGTTAACTTCTGCTTTCCTGAAATTTACACCGCCTTTAAAAACGCTTACCTGCAAGCCATCAGGGAGTTCCCGTCTTAAGAGGGAGTTGCCCAATTCTCCTTTCTTGGTCCCCGCTAAATGCCTTGTGTTCTAGATTCTATCCCAATCTCAGTGTTTTGTTTTGCTGCACTGGGCAAGCAGACCCCAGTCCAGCTCGGTAACACAACTGTCCTCACCACGACAGCCCCAACCCCAGGATCCTCTGACCGCCCACTCCAACGTGCACCTGGTACAGCAGGTACTGTGGGATCTGCTCCGGTGCTGGCCCAAGCTCTGACCTTGGGCTGCCCAGGCCCACCAGTTATCCCATGAACACTGCCAGGCTGCAGCAATTCATGGGCAGTGCATGGGGCTCTATCCTTGCTGGTGTTTGGAAGTTACCCCTTTGTTTTTCCAACCAGACAGGTTAGAAATGATATCTTATTGTTAACTTTCATTTGCATTTCCCTAACTACAGGTGAATTTACGAGTTTTTCCATATGCTGGTTGCCCATTTACATTTCTTCTTTTGTGAATTGCCTACCCATATTCTCTGACCATTTTTCCACTGGAGTATTTGTATTTTCCTGCCAATATAAAGGAGCTAATTGTATGTCATAGATAGGCATTTCTTAGCTGTCACGTCTGTTACAGTTATTCCCCTCAATCTCTATTTTGCTTTTTGGTTTTGTTTATGGTTTATTTTATCATTTAAGTTTTAAAACATTACACAATCAAATATGCTTAGCTTTCCCCTTATAACTTCTTGATTACCTTTTCCTTCTAAAAGTCTTCTGAGTCTCTGCATCGTTTTTCTAAATTCATTTACTTTTTTCATTTTAATTTTTATTTCATCTGAATTTCTTTTTTTCTTTTTCTTCTAAGCAGCTCTACATGATGAGATTTATTTTTGTAAATGGCATGACAGAGTAGTCCAACTTAATTTTCTTCTTATGCAAAGTGTGATAGCACCATTAAAATAATACCCCCTTTTCACTGAGTTGAAAAACCTCCATTGTGATACATTAAATTCCTCTGTAGGGGAGTCTATTTCTGGATCTTACTCTATACTGTCCCCCAGTTCTCTCTGTTTTCAAGCACAGCTTAACAGTAACCTTACAAATCCAGCAAGGAAAGTGTTCCCTCTGTGTTTTCTTTTCTTTTTTTTTTTTTTAAAGGCAGGGTGTCACTCTTTACCCAGTGTGGAGTGCAGTGAAGCTTTCATGGCTCACTGCAGCCTGAACTCCTGGACTCAAGCCATCTTCCCACCTCAGCCTCCTGAGCAGTTGGGATCACAGGTATGCACCACCATACTTAATTTTTTCTATTAAATTTTCTTTTCTTTTTTCTTTTTTTTTTTTAGACTTGGTTGCCCTGCCTCTCTATGTGGTTTTCATTTTTTTCAAAAAATTTTTGACTATGCCAGATTTCTTTTTCCACATGAATCTTTCAATTTTTAAATTGTTTTCTCTCCTTTTTAGTTCCTCTTCACCACCACCACACCTCCACCAAGAAAGATAAAAAATTCTGGCTGAAATTTTACTTGAAAGTGCATTAAGTTTTTATAATAGAATTTGGTAGAACTGACATTATGATGATATACAGTTTCCTCCCCAATATCAAATCACTGTTAAGAGTTCATTGTATATCCTTTAAAATAACTTCATAGTTGGCCAGGTGCGGTAGCTCACACCTGTAATCCCAACACTTTGGGAGGCTGAGGCAGGCGAATCACAAGGTCAGGAGTTCCAGACCAGCCTGGCCAACATGGTGAAACACCATCTCTACTAAAAATACAAAAAATTAGCTGGGCATGGTAATCCCAGCTACTTGGGAGGCTGAGGCAGGATCATTGCTTGAACCCGGGAGGCAGAGGTTGCAGTGAGCCGAGATCATGCCGCTGCACTCCAACCTGGGTGACAGAGCGAGACTTCATCTCAAAATGATAATAATAATAATAATAGCTTTATAGTTTTTCCTTATATGGACGTTATATTTTATTGTTGGTATGGAGAAAGGCTTTTTTTTTTGAGAAATATATTTATCTAAACTCTTTGCCAAATGAACTTATTAATCTAGTAGCTTTTAAAAAAATTAGAATCTTTTATGTTTTCTAGGTCTACCATAGCATTACCAGAAAGGATAATGTTCCCTATTCTTTGACAATACGCTTATTGATTGTTTTCCTGTTTTATCATGTGGTATGACCTCTAAAATAATGTCAAATAAAAACAGCGATATCAGCATTCTTATTTATTATTTTAATGGAAATGGCATTAGAGTTGCAGCTTTTTGATGTTAGCTATCTTTATCATATAAAGTAAGGTTCCTCCTATTAATTTTTATTTGTTGTGGCTATTAAATGTTATTAAATTCACTTTTAGTGTGAATTGATATAATCATAAACTTTATCCTTACTGGTGTAATAAATTATGGTGGTAGCTCTCTTGATATTGAAATATCTGGAATAAGCCCTACTTGGTTATTACATATAGTCATTTAATACACTGCTGCACTCACTTTGTTAATATCACCCTTAGATTTCTCTTCAATCTTTATTTAATACTTAGATTGGTCTTCAGCCTTCTTTTGCCTGTATCCAATTTCAGAACTAAGCTTACGCCAGCTTTATAGGATCAATTTGGGGCTGATAAAGAGCCCTGGAAATGTTGGCTGTCTAGTAGCTGGGTGAGACTCAGCTGCTCGCCATATGGGTCTGTTTCCAATCACTATATGGAAATTGGCCTATTTTCTACAATTTCTTCTAATTTATCTTTTCCTAGGTTTTTAATCCATTTCCTCTAGTTTTTCAAATGTGTTGCTATATTACTCTCATTAAAAAAGTATATAATCATAATTACTCTTTTTTAAGAGACGGGGTCTTGCTATGTTGCTCAGGCTAGAGTGCCCCGTGGCTATTCACAGGTGTGATCATAGCACACTACAGCCTCAAGTGAGCCTCCTGCCTCAGCCTCCCACGTAGCTGGGACTACAGTTGTGTACCACCATGGTGCACGACAATGTAATTACTCTTTTTATGACTCCTTTTTTATTCCGAATCTTGAATATGTTTTTTTTCCTCTCTCTCTCTTTTTTTCCGTCAGCCTCATGAGGAGGTTATTATTATTATTTTTTGGACCTTTCAAAGAACTAGATCTTGGATTTACTATCCTCTGACTTTCATTTGCTTGGGTCTTTATAGTTTGCAAAGTTTCCATTTTCAGAAGAAGAAAGAGACCCAGGAACAGTCTGTGGCTTTCTCAAGGTCCCACATCCTGTTAGCAAGTGGCTGAGCTGGAATTTAAGCTAGGCCCCTGACTCCAGGCTGCTCCAAGAGGTCTCTGAGAAAAGCTTTTGAAGGCACCATCGGTGGTGCCTGGGATCTCCGGGGATCTTGCAGGAATTTCATCTTCTTTTAGGTCACCTGTCCCTTTACCTACTGCTTCAGTTCCTTTGGCACAGGGCTTCTCTCTAGTAACAGACGGGAAGCTCCTCTGAGGGCACATACCCCTGGGAGACCGTGGGGAGCCTGGAATCTAGAGAATCAGATGACCTGGCTTGAATCCTAGCTCTGTGGCTGGCAGTGGGCACCGGTCCCTCAGTTTCCTTATCTGGGTAAAGTGATCAACATCAATAAAGCCCACTACCTGGGAGGGCTGTGGTGATGATTACACAAATAAAGATAGGTTATCTAAAACCCCAGTGGTTAAGTGTGCTTCAGAATCCAGAATTTTTAGGATTTTAGCAGTGGGTATACTTCATTATGTGCCATACCCCCTCCCACCCCAGGTCGAGGGCAACGTACTATTTTACAATCAAACCGAGCAGTATTTCTGCAGTGATCCACATGCCTATCACATTGAATGGGAAAAAGGCTCTAAATAACCTCACCTATTGCTTCAAAGAAGGTTTGTTCACAAACAATGAATTTGCTGCACAGTTTTGAAACATGCAGCAGTTTTTAGATTCTTTAGATTTAGAATCGAGGGTGAGGGATTGTGGACTGTGCAGGTTAACCCGTAGGATAGCCTTGGCATGTGGCTGGTGCCTGACCTATCCAGCTGCTACTGTGTCCACAGCTCTCAAGGTCCAGTTCATGGACATTATTTGCTGAATGCTCATCTGCCAGTCTCCCACGGCATCCCCTGTGCAGTTCTTTCCTACCCCCAGGGACCTATGCCCAGTCCAGTCCTGGCCTTGGTCCCTGCTGTCTGCACACCAGCTCCCAGCCTGGCAGTAGGCTGGTGCCAGGAACAGGTGGAGACAAAGCCCTGTGCCCACCTGCCTTTCATCCAGGGTCTCCCTCTTCCTCCTCCCTCATCTCAGGTGGACGTAAAAACTCACATCATTATCAAAGGTGGCATACCAGGACTGGCCTGGCTCCTGGCCCCAGCGCCCATGGTGCCCCTCAGTGGTTCTGGTCTCCAGCTCAGCCCACAGCTTCACCTGCCTGGCCCCTGGCAGCACCTTGATTGGGGGCCCTTGGTCAGGGCGCTGGGTGGAGAGTGAAGAATATCATCCCAGGGCAGGTCCTCCACAGTGTGCCTCGACCGGCCAGGGGCTTCTCAAGTGTGCCTTGGGGAGTACAGCCCTCTCCGCCCTATGGACAGCCCACCTCAGGGCCGGCAGGAAGCCCTAGTGTCTTTCAAGACATAGCTTCCCGAGCTGGAGTGTGAATGGAGCCACCCAGGAGCCCTGGATCGCGGAGGACTGAGCTGCTCAGAAAGGTGTGCCTGGAGGCAGCTTACCTGGATGGCAATGGGGACGATCTTGTTGGCCAGGTTCTTATACAGCAAGCAGATGGGAGCGGCCAGGAACTGGAGTGTGCAGGGGTCTGTTTTGTTGGCATCGATGCCATCCAGTAGCTCAAAGTCCACGATGAAAATGTTCCCTTGCTGCAGGAGGCAGAGAGATGTGTCCAAATCAGGCTCAGCAGATGGGCCAAAAATCAGGCCTGAGGAAAGAGTGATGATCTCTGGGGCCCCCTCTCCCTTTCCTGCGACTCAGCGGACTTTAGAATGTGTCAAAGGCTGATTGATTCACATGGAGGGTGTTCACAGGTTATGGTAGTTCGGGGTAAGGTGAAGGAATGGCAGCAGCTCACTCTGCATTTGTAGTGTCGGAAACCTGCTTGACTGGCAGGAAAGATGAGAGACTGCCCTGAGTGTCAGATTATAAGAAGAAAGGAGAGGTTAGGTGAAATAGATGCGACCAGTTAAATGTCAAAAAATGATGCTGCCGGACTCTACACAGAGGTCAAAACTGGGCGAACTCAACCCCAGTCAGAGCCAGGACAGGGATCTCCCTTGGGAGGAAGAGACAGGAAGCGGGGCAGGGCTGTCCACCGGGTCGGGTAGGGAGGCTGCAGGGGAAGGGAGAGGGGGTTCTGCACGGGCAGGGGAATCTACAGGGGTTGAGGGGGGTCTCCAGGAGGTAGGGAAGGTCTGCGGGGGCGGGAATGAGCGTATGGCGGGAGAGGGGCTGCAGAAGCAGAGGGGGAAGGGGCAGTGGCTAGGCAGGTGGGGGTGGTCTGCAGGGTTGGCCTGTTGTGCCCTGGTCTGAGACTGGCGACACGGCGGGTCATTGATGTAAATTCGTCGGGCTTGCTGACCCTCGGATCCGTGCCCTTTTCTGTAGGAATTAACACCCCTCGACACACAACGAGCGTGCCCATGAAATGGGAGGCGGGCGACCGCTGGGAGCCGCGCAGTGGGTCCGGCAGAGGGGCCCCTAGGAAGGCCAGGTGCAGGGCTGCTGAGCAGCGCTTAGGCCGGGGGTATGGCCGCTCCTTCTGAAGCCTTTTCTGTTTCCTGAGTGATGAAGGAAAGGGTGAGGGTCCCGACTGCGGAGGGGTCGGGGTCTACTCCGCCTGGAGACATCCAGAGCGCCCCGCTACAGCTTCACCGATCGCGCCCGCGCACAGGACCCCCGGGCTGCTCGGCGGCACGCAGGACTGAAGCCACCCACCCAGGACGAAGCCACCCACCCAGGACGGCGGGAGCTCGGAGCCTGGCCACCGCCCTCCTCCTTTGTGTCGTTTGACACCAGGGATGAACTCTGAGCCTGTCTCTTATACACATCTAGATGTGTATAAGAGACAGGCACATTGGTGTCTTGCCTTCTAGGACGACGGCTGGACAGCTGGACTTTGAGAGCTGAAGTGACCATCAGACTCTACCCAGAAGGAATGGCTGCTAATCCAATCTTGAGACCACCCAGGCTGGTGAACCTGATACTGGGAACAGGAGGCCTGGGATTTGGGGCCACAGATTGCAGCATTTCTCTGTTATTCTAGGCCTCCCTTGCATCTTTCTGAAAAACGAGGGGCAGGCCTATCTCTCAGTTCTGACGTTTTAGGATTCTGCTGCTGACACTGGAGTTCTTGCCTGTCTAGCGTCCGTGTCCCCTCTGGGTCTCCATTCTCCTGGCCGTGGACACGGGCTCACAGAATCAGTGAGGCCCGAGGATGGCCTAAGACATCTGCTGGGAGTGTTAGGAAACAGGGTCTTTCTTGCTGGGAGGGGGTGGTGTTTGCTAAGCTGGTGGAAGGTAAATCTGAAGCTGCTGGGGATCATTCTTTACCTCCAGGTAAGGAAACCCTCCTGAGGAAAAATCCACCAGAGGCAGAGGATTGAGACATGGAGAGAGAGAGACAGTGCAGGGGATGCTCTGAGCCCTGGTCTGGTCCCAAATGAGTTAGCATTGCTTTTTACTGTTGCCTGAGCCAATCGAGTTCTTGGATTAAACCAGATGGAGTTGATTTTTGTAATCTGAAACCAAAGAATCCAAATACAAAGACTAAGAACTCAAACAAACTTGAGCTGTAACACTGAATCAATGCCAACAACAGGGATACGATTTCCCTCTTCATGTTCCAGAAAATAACTGCACATTTTACAAAACAATGTAGGCATTTTTAGTAGGCCACAAGCTTGCTGTAGATCACTAAGGTGCTGCCAGATGGGCAGCATGAATGACTGTGGGGATTAAGAATCATGCTGGTGTGTAGGAGATGGGAAGGTGTGTGTGTGTTAAGAGTCTAGTCAGTGTCCCAGCTACTCAGGAGGCTAAGGTAGGAGAATGGCCTAAACCCGGGAGGCGGAGCTTGCAGTGAGCTGAGATCCGGCCACTGCACTCCAGCCTGGGCAACAGAGGGAGACTCCGTCTCAAACAAAACAAAAACAAAACAAACCAAAACAAAACAAAAAAGCGTCTAGTCAGTGAGGGGTAGGTCAGCTCAAAGGAAAGGCGACCCATAACCCACGTGCCCTGGAGGTGGCCAGGACTCCCTGTGGGAGGCTGTTGCCCTGCCCAAGTGCTGAGGACGGCGACTCCTTGGCTGCTGGGTGCACAGATGGCTGCTCAGAGTCTTCCAATTCTAGGATTCTATATGGCTTAATCTCTATGATCTCTGACTTGAAGTTTGAAACCTACAGCCACCGAATCAATGTTACTAAGTCTAGCAATTCAGTCCACTCAGGAACACAGATGCTGTCTCAGTGTATGGGGGATTGTAACTGTCAGCTGTTCCCATGACCAGGAAGTGTTCCGGGCCTGGCTGGGTGCAGGAGGAGGAGGTTAGGAAGCGCTGCCTGCACTGGGGCAGGAGACTTGTCCAGGGACTTCAGCTGGGTGGGTGGCCCTCTAGATTCAGATGGGCCAGGTACTGGGGCTGTAGGTTTATCTCTAAAGGGCACCAACCATCCCTCTCCAACTAGGGCCCCAGGGTAAGCTGAGCTTAAAAGACTGGAAGCAGCAGAGGCCACCTGGACACCTGGGGACAGGCAGCAGGGCCTGGGTGGCAGAAGGCCCCATCACACTGGTTCCATGGGGAAGAGGCAGGCCGATGGGCTAGCACCTGTTGCTGAGCCCCACCAGATTCAGATGGAGCTGGTTTGAACTTCTGTCTCAAGACTAGGTCAGCCTTGCAGCCGGAGGCAGCTGAGTCTGCAGGTGAGGGTGGGAAGGAGGGTGCGACAGGAGCACAGGCAGCAGCATTTCTAACGAGAAAGTCAAACATTCTGTTGGGTTTCTCCTCGTGCCCCTTTTTTATTCTCACACAAGATCTACTTCTTTCTCCAGTGTTCTCCCCTTTGCAAGGTGGGTGACAACTGATGACTGTGTATATAAAGCACCTGTCACAATGCCTGTCCCACCACAGGCCCCTAATCAAGGATAGCTCCTGTAATTATTGATACTGATAGTGAAAATATTGACATTATGTTCCCAGACTCGAACATCATGGAGAAACATTCCCCACAATTCCTCCTCTGATATTGTACAAGACAGTCTGCATAATGCCCAGGACCCTGGCTGACACTGCTGCCAGGAAAAGGAAGCGGCTGCTCCAGGCCAGATGGGCCTGCAGTTAGTGTCTTGGGGGCCTATGAGCACTGGTCAGGAGGAAGTGGCTTCCACCTGACAGACTGTGACCTTGGCCACTTCCCCAGCCCATCAACCCCTACCTGGACCTCCTGCTCCAAGCTGAGCTGTCGCTCCAGGCTGCACTCCACCATCTCCGTGGTCACCGGGAACTTCTCCGGCAGCTCTGTGCAGCGCCGGATCAACACAGGGTTGCAGCCATTCAGGAACTGGTAGCCAAACATCAGGTCTTCCTGCCAATGATTCATGACCCGCTCTACCAGGAGAGAAGCGAGACCCACCCTGAGCTCTGAGCAGAGGGCAGCCAGGGCCGTGGCCCTCCTGACCTCACCTGACCTCTGCAGAGCAGAGTCCCTGCTTGGTCTCCTCCCCCAAGTGCTCCCTGGATGGACACAGCTCCAACTGCTGTCCCCTGCCCATCACTGGGTCAGGCTGTGGCACCATCTCATCATCCCTGAGCTGGCCCTTAGTGGCTCAGAAGCCTCCCGGGGCACCCGTCTCTCATGAACTCAGGTCCTTCAGCCCAGCATGGATAGTCCAGGATGAAAGAAGGAGGGGTGTGGAGGAGAGTCCCTGGGGACAGTTTTCCAAGTTTGGTTCCCCATGTCCTGATTTCGGCACCTCTTCTTGTTCAGCCATTCCTGCCTCCTTAACGTCCTTCCCATGCCATGACTGGCCACTATAAAGCTAGTGCTCTCACCAAACACATCCTTATCCAAAGGAACCCAAAGTTGCTTTCGTGTAAATGCCTAAAACACAAGCCAAGTTCTGCCTTTGCTCTGGTCAGAAGCACAAATGATTGATTTGTGCCAAGAAAAAGTTCTGATACTTTTCAGACTTTGATGGTGAAATGAGGTCAAGGGTGCTGGAGCTTGAATATCTGAGGAGGAGAAACCTCTGGGCACAAGTGTGACCACAGTGATGCAAAAGCTGTGGAGTGTAGGGGGTGCCGGCCAGGGTGGCATGGTGGCAGCAAGGCCCCCATGCTGCAGCAGGCAGGAAAGCCCTTGTCAATTTCGCGGTCTCAGACAGAAGAGCAGCATCCCCTGTCCCCAGCACCACTAGAGCCCCCAGAGGCACACTCACCAGAAATAGTGTTGCTGATCTTGACGAAGATTTTCTCAAAGTCGGCAAAGTCATTCCAGGAAGACTGGAACATGTGCATGAAGCGGTTGATGAACAGGTTCTCCATCCTGCAGACCAGGAGAGAGGTCACCTTGTACACACCAGCCATGCCTCCCTCTGCAGAGCCCCTTCACAGTGAGCTCTCAGGGGTCCCCACAACACACCACCCCCCCCCGGCCCCAGGCAGCTCTGCAGAGACAGGTGATTGGCTTTTCAGAACCAGGACAGAAACTGGCATCTATACGGGATGCTGTTCCTACTGCACCTCACCTGTCGAAGAGACAGGCCAGTACCCTCCAGAATAGCCTACAGTGCCTTGAATTCCATTCACACATGTGTTCATTCATTCATTCATTCACTCATCAGGGACTTGCTGTCCCCCACTCAGTGGGCCAGTCCCTCCGAAAGCTTCCAGGAACAGAGATCCAGCTGCTCTACTGTGTTGCCTGGATTTTGGGGAGACGAACAGTTCAATTGACTTGAAAACTCATTTATTTTCTGCTAAATGGCTCCATGCTTGGTGCTGAGGACAGAAGTTTCCAAATGCTCACTGCACAAGACGAGGAAATAGAAACCCAAGGCCAGAGCTTGCTAAATTCAGAATGCAGGTTGCAGGTACCAAGGAGTGAGATGTGTGTGTGAGCAACCCCCAGGGCTTCCTGGAGGAGGCAGGGTGTGGGATGGGTCCAGGAAAGCTGGAAAAGAGGGGAGAGGCTTCCCAGGTTTCCTCCATAACCCTGCAGGGTGCAGCACAGGAGCGTGGGAATGCTGCCCAGTGTTCACCATGACACAGGCTGCCTCAGTTTCTCTCTCTGGCACACAAAAGACTGAGATTAACAAGTTAGCCTGTTTCCTCCCCACTGTCAGTGCTCGATCACTGCCCACTCTTCAGCCTTGACTCTGGCTGCCCCTCAGAGCCCAGGCCTTTGCCTTGGGCCTTTGCACATCTGTTTCCTTCAGGCTGGAATGCTCAGTGCCCCTTTCTTTTCTGCTGTGGACTAAATTGTGCCCCCCAAATTCACATGTTGAAGCCCTGACCCCCAGTGTGATGGCATTAGGAGGTGGGGCCTTTGGGAGGTGATTAGGGTTAGATGAGGTCACGAGGGTGGGGCACCCATGATGGGATTAGCGTCCTCCTAAGAAAAGGAAGGCACCAGAGGGCTTATTCATGCCCTGTCCCCATCTCTCCTCTGCCACGTGACCATACTATGGGAACACAGAGAGACATCTGCAAGCTGGGAAGAGGGCCCTCACCAGCAAGTGGATTGGCTGGCACCCTGATCTTGGACTTCTAGCCTCCAGACCTGTGAGAGAAAAATGTCTGCAGTTTAAGCCATCTGGTCTGTGGTATTTTGATGTGGCTGTCCCAATAGGCTACGCCATTCTCCTACTGCGCATATGGGGTGAGTGTGTCTGGAGGGCTCCCTGGAGTGATGCTGTCTCTGTTCATTTCCTCTGTAGCTCTTACTGCAGCTTAGGTGCAAACTCATGTGTATGAATTGGTGCCCACTGCCCTATGCATGCTGAGGGCACAGTCATGCCTGCACTTTACTCAGCATTGAGCCCAGGCCTCCTAGTGTCCAGAGGGGCTCATGCAGCATCGCCTCGTGGACGAAAAGGTGACCTCACCCTGGTGCAGGGGATTGTGCCCAGGGCATTCCTCCAGTGGCTCCTCTTCCTGCCCACCCCCAAGGAGGCAGCCTTACGTGGCCAGGATCCCCCACTTCTCAGGTGGAGTGTGGCTGGGTCTGAGCCGTAGACACACACACCTTGTCATGGGGAAATCTGGGGAGTCAGGGACCTCCCCACATCCTCCTGATCCAGCAGAATCAGAGAATGGAGGCTGGGGAGAGCCTGGCTGATGGGACACAGGGCTTGGTGACATCCCAGCTCTGTCGTACCAGGGAAATTACCCTGTGACCATGCATGAAGGCAGCAAACTGGAGCAACCACACAGGGGAACTCTTAGGATAAGCAGGAGACACTGGGGGTCTGTCCTGCTTGCCCTGCCAGGCCTAGGGGCGCATCCGGGCAGAACAGCAATCCCCTTCCATCCTTCCTTAGCTTAGCAAATGCTTCTCTCCTTTGTCCTGGCTACCCTAGGTCTCCGAGGAGGCCATGATGCTCAGGAGAGGGTACTGGGACCACAAGGCTGGAAGCCTTTGTGAGTACTGTCTTTTTCTCCTCATGTGTCAGGACAAAAAAGCAGCCTGCAGGTGGCCAAGAGGGTGCACTGCTGGAAGTTGCCATGGCACAGTCTGGGCGGTGTGGCCGGCTTTGTGATGGGCTGCATACAGTAGGTGCTCAGTGCTACAGCAGCCTGGAGCTGTCGAATAATGCCAGCATCATCTTCCAGTCCTTCTGGTACCTTCTTCACTTGGATCCAGCTCCTCTTGGGGAAGGAGGGGCTTTTACCCAGATTCTTGCTGCAGCCTTCCAGGGAGGCTGCTGTGGCCTCACCAAGGCTACGACCAGCAGCCAGGCACCGGAATACCCAGAGAAGCTTCTTTCAGCCTTGCCGCCTCCTTCCTCCCCCAGCACCTCTTGTCAGCTGAGTGTCCTGGGCTAGGAACGCTTGTCAAACTAGAGGAGTAAGCCTCACTGTAGCATCTGGTGTCAGTCTGGGTGGGGAAAAGAACTTATTTCTGGGAGATGAGAGTCCTTCCCAAGCCCCGAGAGCCCTGTAGGGCCTGAAGATGGCCCAGCACCAGATGGTGCTCCAGAAAGAGGCCCTGTGCTGGGGCGCCTGAGGTCCCGGGTGGTTGCTCACCCCTGTTCTTTGGAAGAACCAGGAGTGAGTCACCATCTCCCCAGCTGGGTCTGTTTGACCTCAAAACCGGAGGTTTGCTCTGAAAACAGGGTGGACGTGGCAGTTTTCAGAGGAAGCCACAGATCCAGGAAGAAGTGGAGTTAGGAGGAACATATTTGCGTGTCATCTAGAGGCAAAATATTTCTATATCCTTACAGATAACTGGAATATTCAGGGCTTCAAAGATTCGCTTTTGTAAAAAGAAGGAACCTGCAGGCCAGAGAGGGCACCAGGTAAGGTCACACAGGCAGGTAACAGCCACCTTGATCACCCGGTCTCGGGGTGGTGACCAAGCTTTCTCCTGCACCTTCAGTTTTCTCCTGTGCCAAACTGTGGCCCAAACTGGGCACCAGCTGTTGGCCGTGTGCCAGGTGAGCCCCACCCCTCACCCCTACTTCTCCCAGGACCGGCCTCATTTCTCTACTGTTCCGCCTCACTCGAAGGAAACTCTCTCAATTTCCTTTAACGAGGCCATGGAGGTTCACCTGACCTCTGTCTCCCTGCTCTTTCCTTCTGCTAACAGCTTTTCCATTTTTCATGCCACAGTTGTGCTGTGCAGGGCGGGGGCAAAGCCTGCTGAGGAGGGCTGGCCCCCTTCCAGGCACAGCAGGTGGCTAGGAGGAACTGCGTGCCAGAGTTACTCAGAAGCGGCGAGGAAACCAAGCTGTCCCCAGCCAGAGGTTTAACAGGGAAGGCCTCCTCGGTGATTTCGGCCACGAGTTTCAGTTTCCTGCCAGTGGGCACTGAGTTTAACCCACACTAGGGGGTGAGTGTAGCCATCCAGATTTTAACAAGGGCCCCAGGGGATTCTGACGCAAGCTATACTTTGACAACCACTGCTGAAGAGGTTGCAATGTTTTCCAAATTAATTTGACTACAGAACAGATCGTTTTTGTTGAGGGAAACATGACTTCATGTTTTGTATTAACTCTTCGTCTTATTTTATGACGCCTTTTTAACAACAATATGATGCTACCTTAGCAAATAACATTGAAATTTTCTAGCCTTGTCTAAATTTTAGATGGATTCCCCCCCTACATTTTCCAAACAAATTTATTTTACAATGGGACACATCTCTGATCTCACAACAAAATTTAATGAAAGTCAGTACGTTTTATAGGCATCAGTTAATAGAAGGGGATTATTTTGAAAATTTCCAAGGATTTCAGAGGTTTTAGGGTAGCATTTGGGAAGTTAAGTGGGAGAATTCTACTTGTGTCACAGGAAAAGCGGTTCCTATGAGTGCTTTGGTGACGGGGCCAAATGGTTTCTGAGCTGGGATGACGATAAGAGGGGATGGGGTCTTCTTCCCATAGACAAACCCACGCTTTGCTTTCCAATGCCAGGCCAGCAGGCTCCCTCCTCTTCCCGCCTCTCTTTCCTTCGCCATCACTTCTCCCGACACCCACCCTGGGCCCTCACCCTTCCTGGTGCTCGTGAGTCCCTCCCTTCCTCCACAGGCACTCTGCCCTTCCACTGAGCTCAGGGCCCTTATCTCCTGGCCTGGCCCCTCTGCAGCCTTCCTTGCCTGGGGGACTATGGCTCCTTCCCTGCACCCCTGGTGCCTTTTGTTTTTGTCTTTTGAGACAGGGTCTCACTCTGTTGTCCAGGCGGGAGTTCAGTGGTGCAGATCACTGCAGCTTCCACCTCCCCGGCTCAAAGGGTCCTCCCCCTCGGGCCTTCTCGAACACTGGGATTACAGGCGTGAGCCTCCGCATCCACTCCCTACCCCTCATCCCCCTTCAGGACGCTGCCATCCATGTAGCTGGGTCGCCTGGAGCACAGGGCATGTGGCCGGCCTGTGGGGCTGGGGCAGGGCCGGTGGGAGGGGCTGCCCTCAGAGCGCAGCCCCCAGGCCTCTGCCTGCCCCCAGGTCCCCTCTCCCCCGTCCTTTACCAGGAGTCCTTCGTCAGCTTCTCCGCTCAGCCACGCTGCACAGCTCCCTCAACCCAACTCCTGGACTCAACTTCGCCCCAGCCTCCTTCGTGCCCAGCGTCCCTTGTAAATGACCCCCCGGGCCTGGTGCCCCGCATTCTCTCTCGGCCTCTCCCCAGTGGCCTGCTCTTCGCCCGCCGGCGCACGCCCGACCTCCCTGCCTCTGTGCCTTCACCTGACCACAAAGGCGGCCAGGGCAACCTCCACGCGGCTTGACTGTCACGGCTCCCTATTTATCCCTGGACGTGGGAAACTCGGGCTCATAGCGCCTCTACTTACACTGCTGCACAGACTGGCGCTTCCTATGCCGCCTTCACCGGAAGACACCCCTGGCGTCCTGGGGTGAGGGCGGCTCCATCCGCGACCCTTTCCGGAGCTGCTCCCGCCCATTCTCATAGAGGGAAATAGCAGGGCGTGTGAGTCCCCCACCCCTGGCCCCCACCTTTCCAGGACCGGCCGCCTATCTGCACTGTCCCGCCCCACTAGGAAGGAAACTCTCTTTCTCAATTTCCTTTAACGGGGACATTGTCTTTTCAGCCCTGCCACCCCCTGCAATCGTCTTCCAGGCTGCAAACAGGCTGTGGGGTGGTGAACACATCAACTGCTCTTCCCTCCACACCACCAGGAAATTTCGCAAACCACTTGGCTCTCGGCGGCCTGGCCTCGCCACACCTGTGCCCACAGTCTCTCTCCGCTGCAGTCCCCTGTGCCATTCTCCAGGTCCCACGTACCTCGGCCTGGGCCCAGTAAGGCCTGGACAGATGGCCCACGGCTGCAAAGCCTTCCTGGGCCCCATCAGAGAGAACGCCCAGGTGGAGCGAGGGTCCCCTGCCCACCCCGCAAGCGCAGGGGCCCTTTCAAGAGTGCAGCCCTAGGCCGGTGTGTGATGGTGGAGATGGGGTCCCAGAGGGCCTGAACCAAGAATGGAGAAGACTAAGGCTGTCTTTAGGGAGAAACTTCTCTGAGGGTCTGATGTATGCGGTCCCATTTTAATCTCACAACAACCCTGAGGAGGAGCTGGGGCCGAGTCTCATTGTTCATTTGAGGACACTGATGCTCAGGGCCTTAGATGACTTCCCTAGGGTCTCCCCCACCCTCACCGGCCCAGAGCCCTCTCCCAGGCACCCCTCATCCCCACAATGGCTCCTGTAAGCTGCTTCCTTGTGGTGCAGCCCCCTTGGCTCAGCTCCTCAAATGCAGGGACACCTCTTCTCTCCCCAGCAGACCTTAAGGGTCTCCATCCACTGTGCCGGCACAGAGGCGGTGCTCAGAGGCGGGGCTAAGCTTACTGTACAGCCTGCTGTGCCAAGAGGGGCAGAAGGGCCCCTTTCAGGATTCCTTTGCTCTTCTCCTGTCAATAGGCCATCACTCAAGGGGCTAAGTGACAGGACGATGTGGAGAAACGTGGGCTGCAGCACTTCTGGGGCCGAGGGCAGGGTGGGCGGCACTGGGGAGCACAGGGGAGGGGACCTCACTGAGGCCAGGGGCTTCTAGAAGCTTCTGCAAGAAGGGGCTCCTCACCCATGTCTTAGCCAAGAAGTGGGGCAGGCGGGTGTGGCACAGGAAACAGCCAGGTCAGAGACTAGAGGTGCTCTGCAAAGCCCTGCTGGATCCCCACGGTGGAGCATCCTATGCATGTAGGACCCGAGAGACTGCAGGGGCGGGCACGTCCCTACTGATGTGTCTCCATTTCTGGGCAGAGACATCTGGGCTCTCACCTGCAGCTGAGCCAACCAAGAAATTATATTTACTTTTTAGAGCGAGCCTCCAACAAATTATACATGCACTTGAGAATGAGCCCTCCCCGTGTCTTGAGAGATGGAGTCCAGGGAGGCAGCTGGAAAGATGCTCCTGCCCTCACTCAGGAGAGATGGTGGAGCTGGGAGAGGAGGAAGCACTCCCTGGGACCCAGCAGATGGACTTGATTCAGCAAATAGATGCAACCTTATGTGGGGGGTGGGGAGGCCCAGGGAGGCATACAGGCCAGTGGTCTTAATCCTGGCTATATACTGGAATCCCCCAGTAGCCCTAAAATATAACTGTGCTGGACTGCCCCTCCTTCCACGGTTTGTGCAGAGTGGGCAGTATGGAGTCTGTAACACTAAACACACAAGATTGAGAACCATATATCTAGGCTGTTGTTAGCCGTGATGGGGATACATGAAAAGGAGGTGCACAGATACCTTCTATACCATAGGATAGGCACTCATTAAATGCTGTTAAAATGGAGCGTGACCCAGTTGGCACTCAGGGGCACTCAGGGGCCAGCTGGGTCACACTTTCATTTTAATAGGATTTAATGAGCACCTATTCTGTGACAGCTGCTAAGATACAGAGGCTCCTGAGACACAGAGATGACAATGACCTTCAGGAACACTGAGCAGACATAAGAAAGGCAGTCTGGCCTTCACTTTCACTCCACCATTCATTCATCCATCCATCCATCCATCCACCCATCCATCCATCCATCTCTCTGTCTACACTTCCATCCACCCACCATCCATTCGCAATCAATCCATCAATCCATCCATCCACCCATCTGTCCATCCATTCATCTCAGTATCCATCCATCCATCCATCCATCCACCCACCATCCATGAATCCATCCATCCATATATCAATTTCTCATCTATCCCTCCATCCATCCACCATCTACCTCTTCTTCCCTCCTTCCTCCTTACCTTCATTCATCCATTCATCATCCATCTCTCAATCCATCCATCTGCTTGTCCATCTGTTTGATTGTCCATCCATCCTGTATTCCTCCATTCCCTCCTCCACCATTACTAAGCCCAGGTGGCACTACTCTCCACCTTACTACCTCACCATCCTTATCATCCTCTCTAAACTGTCTCTTTCATAGGGGCCTTCTGTCCTGCTTGTCCCATCCTGGTCTGGGACCTACCCCACTAAAGCTACATGGTTTTGATCAGCAATCCCAATCCCAGAGTAGGGGAAGGGAAGTGAGCCCTTAACTTCCATGATGTTTCCAGGGAGATGTTGGGTACTGCTGCATTACCAATCCAGATGCTTGGTTTTACTTTTTCTCTCTAGGAGACCCTGATTGTGGTAGGAGAAAAAATGCTCCAGCTTTGGACACAAACAGACCTAGATTCAAATCCTGGTTTTGCCAATTTCTGCCTAAATGACTTTAGGCAAACTCCTTGACCTTGACCCTTGAAGACTCAGTTTCCTCACCTAGAAATGGTCAATAATATTATTTACCTCCCAGGATGGCCATGAAGCTTAAAATAGATGACTGTACTCCCCAAAACACCTACAAAGTGTTTAGAATAAATAATATTATTTTAAGCTTTGAAGACTGGCTGAGTTCTCAGCCCCGTCTACCTGCTGGGTGTGCAGACCCAAGGCCAGGGTCCCACCCTCGTAGACTGTCATCTGTAGGTGTGGGGTTGGCCTGGCACTGGGAGGTGCTAATGCTCCTCAGAGGATTCTAGGTATAAGAGGAAATGAAAATCTTTGGACCCCAATTCACTCTGCCAAAAGGGAAAAATTAAGCTGAAAGCTGAGTCATGCAAGGAACTAAGATAGCTACAGATAAAAGGTAAAAACTCCCCACAGGTGGCTCTCAGTGTCCACCTTATCAAGTGCTGATGTACTGAGTGCAAGAGGAATACATAACTCACTATTCCCCTACCTGCTCCTTTTCCTTTGCAACATGTGGATTCAGTAATGTGACTATGCTCTCCCTTTCTTCCCTCCAGCCTGCTTTTCTCCTTTAAATATTGATGCCCTTAAAGGCATCTTTGGAAAAAGGCACAGACCACCAATTGTTCCTGTGGATTTGTGTTCCTTTTTTCCATGTATGTCTTTAACCTCTAAATTGATTGAAACCTGTCTCACATACTTTTTGGATTACATAAGGGTTAGTCCAGTTTCAGAACCATGGATTTAGGGTTTGCCAAACTGACATGATTTTTACAATTCCCTACAGGGTCAATGTGCAGATTTAAAGACCCCCTCCACTACCCCTGGGGTAGGATCAGGGGATCCATATGTTTAACAAGCAGCCTGGAGTCTCCTGATAGCCTGGGCAAGCTTTAAAAAGCCCTGCAGCCATTCAGATGAAACAAAGGTGCACAGAACCCATATTTCTGCCACTTATTAGCTGGGGGCCTTGGGCAAGGAAGGTACTCAACCTCCGTATTCCTCAGTTCCTCAACTGTAAAATGGAGACAATGACTGTGACTCCCTCGTGGGGCTGTGATGGTGGAATAGGGGACATATGTCATGGGATCAGCACTGGCATTTTGGCCATTCTCACCATAGCACCTGCCATCTTGGTGACAGCCTGGACACAAAGCCTTCACACCTTTGAAGTGGCCATAGAGGGGATGAGATGTGGACGGGGAAGAGGCATTCCAACTAAAGACCCCTGCTTTGGGCCAAAAACACATGTATGTCTGGTGTCTGGAGTCCTCTAGGTTGTGACTTTTTTAGATACTGGTTGTCCTGCAATGGTGCATTGAGAATCCACTCTATGGCCAACATATCATCAAAGCATTTGGCTCAGCTAGGCTGTTCCCCCAACCCAAGGGCCCCATCAGGAAAGGAGTGAGGGTCCCACCCCCAGCACCAGCCACTGGAGGGGCTGCCCAGAGTCCCTCAGTTCTCGTAAACTTACGCTTTGGAGTAATTCAGAACAAAGTCCACTCCTTTTTCACTATCAAACTGGATATCACGGGGTAAATCCTTGTGGCATTTGGCATCGATGCTCAAGGGAAAGCCAGGGCTCCACTCCATCCATCTGAGCATGAGAAAGGAGAAGAAATTGGGTTAAATGCCGGCCTTTGGTCTGCCCCTTCAGCTGAGGGCTGCCCACACTGTCAGACGGTGTTACACAGGGAGATTGATGTACCCACAATTAAAGTCAACACATCACAGGCTGACCCTGTGTCCAGTAAGCTTCTGGGACCTCTTCCAAAGTCCAGTGGCACCAACTTTGCTGTGCCCTGAGCATCAGAGTGGGAACCCTGAGACTGAGCTTACAGTGGTACAGGTGCACACCACTGCATAAAAAGTTCTGAAGGTAGTCTAGGGAGACCTCACTTACTAGAGGTGACATTGAACAGCAGAAGCCTGCCTTGCCAGTCACTGGAGGTAGAAGGTGTTAAGGCTGCCCAGCCACGCCCAACCTGGACATCCACCATTCTGCCAGCTTGGTCAGTGTGTGCCCTGGACTGCGTGCATGTTCTGCATGTGGCATTTGGGGAAATGGGACAGTTCTTATGCCTTCACAATAGGACGACAAGGCAGCAGGTGGCCTGGGAGAGGGACCTAGACACAGACAGCTAAAAGGCTTCCCTCTGTCACCTGCTGGCTAATAGCAGGTTTAGAGATTATTACAATCAAAACAGCTTCCCCAAAGACAAGCCATGCACTGCATCCAATAAACATGCTCAGATCCTGGCATCCTTGAAACTTATCCTGTGGCATTGGGCATTTGCGTTTTCAAAAATGTTTATTTTGCTTTTCTTTTTGTTTACTTATTGACTAAACTTAAGCTGTGAAAATGTCAGAGGTGTTTGAACCACAGCAACTCCATCTTGAGTAGGGGCTGGGTAAAATAAGGCTGAGACCTACTGGGCAACATTCTCAGGAGGTTAGGCATTCTAAGTCACAGGATGAGATAGGATGTTGATGCAAGATATAGGGCACAAAGACCTCGCTGATAAAACGGGTTGTGATAAAGAAGCCGGCCAAAACCCAGTGAAACTAAGATGGTGATGAAAGTGACCTATGGTCATCCTCACTACTCATTATATGCTAATTATAATGCATTAGCATGCTAAAAGACACTCCCACCAGTGCCATGACAGTTTACAAATACCATGGCAATGTCAGGAAGTTACCCTATATGGTCTAAAAAAGGGAGGAACCCTCAGTTCCTGGAATTGCCCACCCCTTTCCTGGAAAACTCATGAATAATCCACCCATTGTTTAGCACATGATCAAGAAGTAACTATAAGTATGCTCAGTCAAGCAGCCCACACTACTGCTCTGCCTGTGGAGTAGCCATTCTTTATTGCTTTACACTCTTAATAAACTTGCTGTCTTCCACAATGGTTGAACTAGTTTACAGTCCCACCAACAGTGTAAAAGCGTTCCTATTTCTCCACATCCTCTCCAGCACCTGTTGTTTCCTGACTTTTTAATGATCGCCATTCTGACTGGTGTGACATGATATCTCATTGTGGTTTCGATTTGCATTTCTCTGACGGCCAGTGATGATGAGCATTTTTTCATGTGTCTGTTGGCTGCATAAATGTCTTCTTTTGAGAAGTGTCTGTTCATATCGTTTGCCCACTTTTTGATGGGGTTGTTTGTTTTTTTTCTTGTAAATTTGTTTGAGTTCTTTGTAGGTTCTGGATATTAGCCCTTTG